GGCCTGACGTTTCGACTAACTAACTAACTAACTTTCGCTACTGGTTGACTTATGGGATAGCGGATTTCCGCGTCTACGGTGGAACAAAGGCCTCTGAAGAAGACGATTAGTCGAAACGTCAGGCCGTTGAATAAATAGTTCCACCTAAAAACCTCGTGAGGCACAATATAACACTGAATTATTGAAAACTAACATGCCGAGGTTACAAGAAGAGAGAAGCTGGAGAATACAGAGAACTCAGTTTTTCACCAGATGCAATGAAGATTGAAGAGCTGTGTATGAAACCCGTGAGATGCCTGACCAGCTGCTCTAACATTGAGAGAGGAGCTAATGAGCTTCTTTTTCGGCTGACTAGTTGGCTGATTAGTCAGACATATAAGTACATATTCAGTGCCATCACAGGACTCAACATTTAGGAGAAGTGCTACAATTACCCTATCGAGCGGAATATAGGACTGGACTTCTCAGATGGTTCTCGGTATAAGATCAAAGAATAGAAATTATATTGAAAGGATAAATAAAGGCAGAGAAAGTGTAGCGGCAAGTGGCTCGCTCGCTAGACGTACGGTCTGAGGGTCAATCACGCCCTTTTCGGTTCACGTATGACATGAAAGGAAGTTTTCTAATGAGAAAGTGATAGCATCAGAGTTCCCATACAGGCGCTGTTGGCAACCCACGTTGCCAATAGCAAGGAAATTATGAAGAAGAGTCTATTCGCCTTTCTCAAGCTTACTGACAAAGTGCGATCAGGTTTTTCTGAATTTACACGGTGTTAGTTGCAGCGCCAGGAACAGTTTTCTGGTTATTAAAAACATGTAGCTCAACTCGCTCACTCTCACTAATCTTCTATCCACAAACTGGATTCCATCTACCGGTTTATAGCGTTTCCCGCAAGAAAACTTTATGTGATGAAACTTCTAAAAAGGCGAATACGAACTCAACTGCAAGCATCTTCTTTGGTGTATTCCACTGTTATGAAGGCCATGTCGAGGAGGAAAGACGTCGTATTTGACCGCCTGGAAGGCTGGGGGAGGGAGGGAGACGGCCACTAGCTAGCAGAGCCTATGAATTATTACTCACTAACTACAGGCTATCGTTTAGTGACAGAGAAATTTTATCCACTTTCCCATTTATGGTACCCGCAAACGGCCCTATCTGAACGATCCTATGAAATATTACTCTCTACTACAGGCTAGCGACAATGCCTTGGGATGGGAGCACAAAACGAAGCACAATTCAAAAAACCTCCTGGATCGCGCTACGTAATCGATGTTTATTCAGATTGCAGCTGCACTAATCGATGCACATTTGGAATAAAAAATTACTTTAATGGGCGGTCAGCAAAGCAGGCACACCAGAAAAGAGACAGCCCACCGATTATGTATCAAGAACCAGCACTCCCAGTAAACCACCTGAGGGAAGGAAAACATATCATGGTGTCATTGGTTCGCGCCTCGGTGGCGGGACCGCTGATGTGATAACTCAGCTGAAGCTTGTGCGCGGTCCAACCTATGAAGAACCGGGCACTCCAGTGCCGGGAGTGACTCATTCGCACTATTTCTCAGCTTCGCAGGAGTTTACAGGTCACCCTGGTGAGACTTGTTAGTTAAGATAAGCGCCAGTAGAAAGGTGAACTCTACCTATATGTAAAAAACGCCCCCCCGGCCACGTGGGGGTCGATTTTTTTTGCGCCATTCACACTGACAAGTCAGTGTTTTCTTCTCAGTTATTCGCTCAATTATGTCGTCTGTCAAAGACCGCGACTGACGCTAGGCAAAGTCTGGATTCAGGATGGACTTTCTGTGGGCTATTGTAAGGCGTGCAGCCGCCCTACTCGCACCATGTCTCAGGCATATACGCCAAACACCGTACGCACGGCGGATGCGCGTGGAGAGCACCCCAAGCGGAGGGGGGCGTACAGTCGCAAAGCTTAGCGAAGAAGCAAAGCCAGAGCGGAGCGTATCAGATCTTCGAGAAGAATTTTCCTAGTTGAGACCTCTGGCGCTTTTCCTCTGTTTTCATAATTACTGCAACCCTCCGCTCCCCCTTCAACCCCGCTCGGCTGCGAAATTTCTGAAAAAAATTAGTGCTGGAGTGGCAGGAGTTAGGAAAATTTGCTTAAATGGTAGACAGCATGAGGTGGGAAAGGATAAAGCGATTGAGAGGAGGACGTTTGGAAGGGGAGGCGTTGGCAAGTTTTCCTCAGAGGCAGGACGTGTCCTAATCACTAAAGTCTCCCGTATTCCCTTACGGCAGGGAAGGCATAATTACCTGAAGCAATGGCTCAAAGAACGTTACCCGTGGTCCTCAGGTACGCAGAGTATCTGCGTGTAAACGAGTAAACAACCAAAGTGGGTAATATGTCAATAAGAGGTCGCCAGACCACGAGGAGAAGATGAATTCAAGTTGGCTGCAGAGCATACGAGTTGAATAAAGTCACTCACCATCAGTCACACCTAAGGCTCACTAATCATGGTTCAAACAGAATTTATGGGCGACAGACTGGTCTGCAAGCCAGAATCTTAGGTGCCACTTATAGCTAGAACTGAGAGTTTGGAAAACTGCATCCTTCGATGGCGAAATGCAGCGGAACAAGCATTTGCCGGAACAATACGAATAATTCATCAGCATAAAATTACCTAACAAGAACTAATTACCAAAAATCGACCGCTTTGCTAAGAGAACTCACAAGGATGGTTTACTACGACTTTTTGACGTTCGAATAAAACGCCCACCAAGCAAACTCAAAACGAGTGGGTGTTGCGAGGGGATGAATAGCAATGGGTAAAAAAACTGAGTCACACACACACCCGCCAACCGCAATTTCGGCCGCATGTATGTCTACCGCGCGGCGACCGGCGTGGACGTTAATGGGAGAACAGTACAAAAGACCCGACCGTAATGGTCAACGCGATCGATGATCGATTCGTGGGAATGTGAATGGAAATCGATGGGAGGGATGATGGAGGTTCTGGAAGGTTGGGTGGTGTCTCGGAAACGATTTTCAG